TATGCTGTTTTTCAAGGACGTGAAAGCAGCTGTACGAATAAATACCAAGGACGGTGTTATCGATGATGCCATTGCTCTTCCTGGTTTGCTAATTTTTTTAGTTTAAGTGCTGATTAAATTAGTGGTTTTTTAATTATCAACTAAACTTCCTCATACTTGTTCCTCATATTTGAGATATTTAGGTTTTATCTACCTCCATCAGCTTTTTATTCATCGTGGTCGACATGAAACAACGTGGAGAGTATTGAGGCGATTCGGATATGACAACGAACTAGAACTTGCAGCTGATTATATACAGCCTTCGTATGCTCTTTTAAACGTGAAATCATGTTAACATTGGTATTTGAGGAACATAGGTATTAAACGGTTAGATGCATTTTTTAATACTTCTGTAGTGTTTTTATTTTTGTTTTTAGGCTGAAGGTACCAAAAGGTAGCTCTACGGAATTGACTCAGGAAGGCTTTCAATTCATCACTGCTTTGTTTCAAAAATTTGATGAGGTTTGTTGTTCGTGGTAAAGCAATAAATATGCGTAGAAAAAGTGAAGAACAAAGTTAAAATTCTCCACAAAAGATGAAAGTATGAAAGGAATTCAGCCATAAAATATCCATTTTAATAATTCATATGGGCAGATCTATGTGTCCAAGTTATGCAGTAATGAAGGTGGAACCTTCATTACTGCATAACTTGCATAACTTCATTACTGCAAAAATGATATATATTTCGAAAATGTGGCAACTTAAGAGAATACTGTTATGTGGTAGGTTGGTCAGGATCAAATAAAACGAACTACCCGTATCTTAATTAGTCGATTAACAGGATGGCTTTGAAATTAGAAAAGTGAGTTTTTTCGAAAGTTGTGGATGAAAAAATTTCAGGATAAGGATGGCTGCTTATCTCCTGTGGAATTACAGAATCTGTTCAGTGTTTGTTCGCCGCAAGTGTGGGGTAAAGAAGCTAATTCTGCTGTCGAGACAAACCATAAGGGATGGCTGACTTATAATGGATATGTGGCTTATTGGATGTAATGTGTAAATTTTCATTACAAACAACATTTTTGGATGAAATTTGATGAAATTCTTTTGTTGAGCTTGCGAAGATAATCCATAAATTTTTTAATGATAATTTTTTCTCTTTCTTAGTTTGACAACATTCTTGAATGTTTCGTTGACGATGGAGTTATTGGCTTATCTCGGTTTCAGCATACAGCACGAATCTCAACTAGATGCTATTAAGGTCTGTTTGTAGATTATGTGTATTTGGAAAATATTGTATTAAAAATTGAAATGAAGAAAATTTTGCTTTTTCCTGTTCAGGTAACTCGCGAGAGGCGAATTGATATTGCTGAGAGATTCACAACAAGAGCGGTGTTTCAGTGTCATGTTATTGGCCCAAAAGGCGCCGGCAAAACGATTTTTTTACAATCTTTTGCGGGTCGTAATCTTATGGTTTGTTATCTTAGCTTCGTAAGTCAGGATTAGGTGGATAGAATCATGACTTTCATGAAAGTTGTGTTATTTTTGGCCAAAGTTTGAGTGGACAAATTAAAGCCACTAAGTAGTGCCTTTGCATCGGTCGTATAGCCAGAATGCATATAAGATAAGCGAGAGTTAACGTTGCACCTTATCAAAAATCAAATCATTGCATTCATACTTTAATGAGTTTATGACATGCTGAGCAAAAACCATTGTAGGATGTGGCGGCAATGGGGAAGAAATCGATTTCACCCTATGTTTTGAACAGTGTGAAAGTAAAACAAAGTACGAAATATCTCTTGGTAAGAAATACTTCCGTTTCTTAGTGTTTTAGAAAAATACTAGAAGAATTTTTTTTACAATTTTATAATAAAATAAAATTAGCATTCGATAGAAATTGGGATAGTTAAGATTGTTGTCTGTCTTTTCAAAAGATACATGTAGAGTTGTATCTGGCATTTGTGTTGATTCCGCAATGTAAAGATGGATTATATTAAATGATTGGGACAGTGTTGATATTTATGCTTTAAAAATTAATATTTGAGGAAAATTTGTCATAAATAAATTACTAGAGCTCTTCTTTACTAGATAAAATAAAAAGTTACAGCTCCACGAAGTTGATGTACTTTCACCTGATGAGGCGCTCACAACCTATGAGAAAAGTGCTGATGTTATTGTTCTCTTATATGACGTTACCAATTCTGATTCCTTTGCGTATTGCGCATCTATTTATCTGGTGAGAATCTCAGGGTTTGATACATTTGCGGTTAGAACGTAGAACAGTCATGGTTGTTTTCCTGAGCTTGATTTATTGTTTCCTTTCCACTCACATTTAGATAAAGAATTTACATTTAGATTTTGTTTTGAAAAATGTTTGCTATAGTAACCGTGAAATGTTATATCACTTGTATGTTATACATTAAGTGGTTGTTTAAAATCCTTGCCTCAGATTTGATAGATTTGAATCATTTCAGAAATATTTCTATCGTACAAAAGTGCCATGTGTAATTGTGGCCACAAGATCGGAATTGTGTGAGGTGGAACAAAAATATGAACAGCAACCAAGCGATTTTTGTCGCACACATTCATTACCTCAACCACTCCGTTTTCGACTTAGTGATACTGGCAAAACTGATAATCCCATTTTCTTGCAGCTGGCAATGATGGCTGTCTATCCGTATGTCAAACATTTTGTTTACAGTGCGTAGCAACGTTTTGGTACCAAATATTGATTGATTTTGTAATGATTTACTCTGAGCAATCGGCTAGGATCAACATTTTTAATGGAATTGACATTTTTTGTAACATTAGGTGAAGAAGTTGAACTTGTTTATTTTGATAATAAGGCTTACGAGATCTCTGCAAACAATAAACGCATATTTTAAAATTGTTTGAATTTTCAGGCATCTGAAACGAGTGTACTATCTTCAAGATTCATATTTATTATCCACAATTACTGTCGGTGCTGCAATAGCTGCTTTAGCAGGGTTTTTACTCTATAGAAACTTGTGATATATTTCCCCGTCTGTTTGCGATGAATTGTTGATGGATGTAAGATGTCATGAGAATAGCCATATATATA